TTAAAATCGCGGCTGGTTGGCAGACGGCCTGGCTTGAACATAAAACCCACGTGAGCGGTACACCACCCGATCTCGAGCAACATGGATCAAATAATTCCTCCAGCGGGTCAAAGTTGAAATCTCTTCTCCACTTCGCACACCCAAAGTGCGGGGGCCGAAAGGTTGTGTAAAATGTACAGAAAATCTCGTAATCTGCTTATGTGCCGATGCATCTTTTTCATAGGCTGCCTTATCCACTTATTTGTAAACGCCGGATCCCTTTTTGAGATTTGCGGCCACGTAAAGATGAAACTCCCGAGAGCGAGGGATGAAGAGACTACACGATTACTTCCAAAGCCCAGCAGCATTTTCGTTATCTCAAGATAAGATAGCATCATCAATTATGAAGACGGAATGGTGCAAACATAAGGATGTGTAGGGAAGGACTTCTTATCCGAGCCGGAAAGTGGGCCGCGCAGGGAAGTGGGGGCCGAGAGTTAGCAGCCGGATAGCTGGGGCAATGAACATTGAGGAACTTGTGACTCATTACGACATAGACCAGTGGCGCAGGAGGTAACGTCGTTCTCTTTCGGAGCCCGAGAGCACACATTCGAGAAGTACTGTGCGAATCCCACGCCCATCCCAACACAATAATGGTAATTTGGTAAGGAGCCCGACTAACTACGACTAACTAAAAGTTCATTTCCAATAGGATCAGATCACAAAATCGGACCATCTGCGCGGGTTTGGAGTGGCGACAAACGTTATTAAAATTAACAGACAGTTCACGAATTGGTTCACCATAAATTTAAAAAAGCCGTGTGCCCGTATGGTTCAGAAACTTGATACAATCGTATTTTGTTGCAGATGTAAAATGTGGTTAACCAACATCAGAACGTACACATCTCAGGAGGAACAGACGGTGTTGCAAGGTAAACAAAACAAAAGAAATCTGTCAGAGAGTACGTACCAACAAACCATAACAACTTACACAAAATTAAGAGAAAAAAAGAGCTTAGTTTAAGTAAGAGTTTTACGGCACTCGCAATACAATGCCGTCAAATAAGTAAGTGCCGAAGATAAGCAAAGTTACAAGATAGATCTAGTAGTAACAAACAAAAAAGTAGCGTAGGAGGAGAGATAAGGACGATGCATAATCGATAGGACAGAAGAAGCAAACACCACAGCGCCCACTAACCACCCACAGAACGAGAGAGAGAGACAGAGACACAGAGAGAGACAGAGAGACAGAGAGAGAGAGAGAGAGAGAGAGAGAGAGAGAGAGAGAGAGAGAGAGAGAGGAGACTGAGAGAGTAGAATAACTATTTCATGCATGTCCATAATAATATTATGTTATGTGATAACTGTTGTGAATTCATTGTTTTTCAAGCTGTCTGGATCTATCAGAATAAAACAATTTGCCCATTGTAGTGTCAATAATTCGTCGTTCAATTTCCTGATGTTGGTGCACCACAATACAAGGCCGAGCACACTTTTAAGTTTTTTTTATTTCACAACATTACCCCAGGACTGATTTCAAGGATAAATTTTGAGTGGCTGTATAATATCTCGGGTGGCTCTTATCGTAGATGTCGTATTTATGTGTAAAATGACACAAAATTTATTCAGCTTTGAATGGAATGCATAAATATGATGCTGCATGAGTGAGCAGTTCAACACATTGGGTCATTACATTATCAAAATTCTCTTGGCCGCCAGATATTGCAGGACACATAAATATCTATATAACTATATCCATAATATGTAGTTAATAGACAGACAGACAGATAGATAGACAGATAGATAGATAGATAGATAGATAAATAGATAGATAGATAGATAATAGAATGTTAGATAGATAAAATAATATGTATAGATAGATAGATTTATGGGTAGATATAGATAGATAGATAGATAGATAGATAGATAGATAGATAGATAGATAGATAGATATTCTTAAACTAAAACACCCGAAAAGAACAACCCAACTTACCTGGGCAGGGAGTTCCCCTGTTATCACAAGACTGTGACTCAGTGCCAGAGCCCTGACAATCCTCTCCGTTGTTCTGGGGGGCGGGGTCATCACAGGCCCTGGTCCTTGTCTTTGTTCCCACCCCACCACAAGTCACTGAGCATGCGCCGTAGCTCGTCCACTGACCCCAGTTGCCGTCAACTGGAAGACGTAAATACATGATATAATATTGGAACCTGCTATAATGGTCACCTATCAAAAGCAATCACCTCTAAACCCCCCCCCAAAAAAAAACAACAAACAACAACAAACAAAAACAACAACACACAACAAAAACAACAACAAACAAACAAACAAACAAACAAACAAACAAACAAACAAAACAACAACAACACAAAAACAACAACACAAAAACAACAGACGTTAACGCTTTGAGATATTGTTATTCAGAGTGAGCTTTGACCCCCATGCATTCCCAACTGACTTGATACGGTGAAAAATTTATTGATTGTTCTATCAATGTCATAATCTTCAAAGGGGCAACTTGAAAATAGCGTTGACTATCCGATATTAACTTCTGGTATTGATTTACTTATGATTTTGAAATCATTTTCCCCTTATTTTTCTGTCTTTGTTGAGTTCAGAGGGTAATGAAAATGGAAAATAAAAGAAGTGGAAGGACGGATTTTTGATTAACGTTGCCAGTACATCAACAAAACTGGAAAAATGAAACTTTCCAGGTTTCAGGTTCAACACTTCCTACACGTTCACCCACCCCACCCCTTCCCCCTTCTGTAACTTTTTAAGGAGATGCATTATATTTTTATTATGGGCATCTGACACTACTTGTAGACGTGCTTCTTTGAAATTTAACTTCTTTAAGCAGATTTTTCTTTTGTGTTCTTATCTGAAACTTGAGAGGCCAACAACAAGGCAAATACAACGAAATATGGACATTTTGTGTTTTTGGTGCAGGAATGATAGTGCGAAATGCCTTGCAACATTGCCTTTGGTCTGATGCTGTTCGGACATTATGTGTCAGCTACATTCTTACAGAATTAAAGCAGGGTGGCTGGTGGGTGCTCTAGAGTGGTTTGCTCCTTCTTTCAAATCAAACATCTATCGTCTTTATCACTCCTGTTTATTGTGTATTTTATTCTCTTCTAATACATTTATTCTTCGGCACTTATATGACCGTATTGTGTTGCAAGTACCCTAAAACCCTTACGAAAAACTTTAAAAAACTCAGTGTCCATTTTATTCACTGTAAGATATTATTTACAATTTTACCTCTGGGTGGCAGAGCAAGATCTTCATCAACAGCTCCGTCTCCGTCATCATCTGTGGACGAAACGTGTAGATAGATGAACAACAGTCTATCTATCTATCTATCTATCTATCTATCTGTCTATCCATCTATCCATCTATATAATCTATTTATCCATCCGTCTGTCTGTCTGTCTGTCTGTCTGTCTGTCTGTCTGTCTGTCTGTCTGTCTGTCTGTCTGTCTGTCTGTCTGTCAGTTATGTCAATACTCAGTCGTGGAGAACCGTAAAAAGTGTCCAGGTGTCCACTTCTCTTTTCAGTTATCAGTTTTAAAAAATGTATACAGCGTGTGAGTAAAACATATTCATATCCCCATTACACGCAAGGCAGGCATTATTTTTCTTTAAAAAAAATAATAAGTTCAGAAAATCCTTACCCACGTTGTTGAGCGCCTCTTCGTCTACCAAGCCATCACAGTCGTTGTCCACTGTGTCACCCGGCGTGGGAGATGTGGGGACACACACCTGATTGACACGCATAATACGGGAGTCACTTTTTGTGGCTCTGTGAGCTACTGCATTGCTATATCAATAGTCGCTCACGTGTTGTTTCATTCTACTGCGCACTTCCTCATTTGTGACATGGTCATTGTATGAGATGCTAAAGAGGAGAAGGAGAGGAAGGCAAAGGGAGAGGTGGACCGACAACATTGCGGAGTGGACATGGAATTCCTTTGCACAAACTCATGTGCTCACAAAAAACAAAAACAAAAAAAAACACGTACAAAAGTGAAAGCATCTGACGAGGCTCTCTTTCACACAGCGCCCCTACGATCCTCGTGGAATATGGGATCAGCAAGAAGTAATAAAGCATTGCAATATTATTGAATGGGAAGCTAAGAATTCTCACTAAAAAAATTCACAAACAAACAAAATACACAACAAAAA